ACAGAAGGAAGAAGAGAGTTCCAGAGTTTGGAAGTAGATGGGAAGCAGTAGTCGCTGCACCGACCAATCCTCGAGCTACAAATCTCCACACAGTCCATGTTAGACAAGGCCGCTTGGCGAGTGTTACGTGGCCTCGGCAGTGAGGGAGGGATGCAACTTATCATCTCATCAGAGCAGTGACGAAAGTCGTAGCGGTAGAAACGAGAAAAGGATGATAATCCAAATTACAAGCAAGAGAATGGTCATTAATGAGTCTGACTGACTTAGATTCAACCCTATTAAGAATATAAGTATATGAAGAAGCACCCCAGATGTGCGAGCAGTATTCTAAGCAAGGAAGGATAAAACCACTGTAGATTTTAAGTAACTGTAAAGAGGAAAATTATTGACGAAAACGAAACAGAACCCCCAATTTTTGGGATGCAGAATTAGAAATTTGGGTTATGTGATTCCTCCAAGACAAGTTAGAGGCTATCTGGATTCCTAATATGTTAATAGAATTAAAAGGGTAAATTTCGTTGGTTCCGAAGATAATAGGGATATTAGGAGGAGAAGATAAAGAGATAGCCAGAAACTGTGTATTGGAGGCATTAAATTTAACTAAATTTTGGGTACCCCACTCAGATACCCTCTGCAAATCGGAGTTGAGAGTAAAAAAAAAAAAAGTGATACAAGACTGATTATGAGTTGCAGATGAAGGTTGTGTAGGAAAGGTAGAATCGTCAGCAAAGGCGTGAAGAAGAGAGAAGGATGGGGACTGAAGAAGATCGTTGATGAAGAGAAGGAACAGAGTAGGTGAAAGAACAGAGCCCTATGGAACTCTACTGGTAACAGGGAATGGGCTTAATACTCATAGCTTGTATGTGAACATAATTTTCATTGGTATGGTTATCTTAGGATGAGCTATTCTACTATTGCTACTACTAGTAGTAGTAGGATAAGTAGTAGTAGATTGCTCGTCTGGTGTATATTTATTTATTTATTTATTAATTTATAGCATCATCCTATACCCAGCGAATAAGTTCATGGAAATTGATCCAGAGATAGAATCTTTTTTTTTATTAGTAATATGTACATTTTCGATTTTTCCCCCTCCAAAATTATCTGGAAAATCAAACGGAATAGTGTGGAAAATAGAATGAAACTGGAAAATCAGGCAAAACTAAAAAATCTAGCGAAACCGCCAAATCAGGCGATACGGGCTGAAATTTTGGACGAAGCGTTCTGAGAACTTGGGCGAAATGTTCAGGAAAATCTTGTGAAACTTTTTTTAAAGGAACATTGGCCTAGCGTGCTAGGAAATTGGGCGAAACTCTGGAAAACTAACTGGAGCGTACTAAAAAAAAAAATAATAAAAAAAAAATCGGACAGAACTAAAAAATCGGGTGCAATTCTCTTTTATAAGCAGTGAAACATTTTGGCCACTGTATTACAGGTATCAACCATTCACTTAAGACGTCATGCAGTAAAGGTAGTTTTTATGATGTATGGTTAAGCTTTTGGGCTCAGCCGCACTTTGCCGGTGTGTGGACATGCGCAAGAAAATATGTTGGGTCCGAGAACTTATTGTTAATATTATTCTTATCGTACATAGCTACAGTGACGTATAGACGGAGAATGCATAGTAACCAATTGCAATTTAATTATCATCTATGCTATTTTCATTCTTTTTTCAATTCATGTATGCGCTTGATTATAGAGTCCATTTATGTTTATTTGACTCGGCCACTCCCCTTATAATGATCATGGGCAATGTATATGACTATATATGGTATGTATAGATTTATTTATCTTCAAAGAGCTTAGAGGAGTTCATTGGGATAATGTAGCCTACAGGTTCATGGGTATGTGCTTTGACTCGACCACCTGCCACTACGCGGGGATATTGCAGCTATCTTATACGAATATGTACGAATTTATTTCTCAAGGGAAGTGTGTTTAATCATACGTCTGACAGTGATCTCTCTATGTACTGTGCGTGCTTTGACTCGGTCACTTGCCAGTACGCGGGAGATTGAAGCCATCTTATATATACGTATATGTATGTATTTATTTCACAAGAGAAGTGTGTTTAATCATACGTCTGACAGTGATCTCTCTATGCGCTGCTATCGATCCTTCGGCAGAAGCAGGAGTTGGTGCAGAGAGAGTGAGCCAGAGAGAGTTAACGAGAGGCAGAGTGAATGGTGGGTGCGTTAGGGGTGTTCTGTGAAAAACTGAAACTAAAATTTCGAACGGTCGGAAATTAGGTTTGCGTGAAAAATTCTTGGATAAAAATGAATAAGTATATCATTGGTTCTGCCGTTGTGGTGACATTATTGGCGGTTTTCGTCCGACAAGGTGAGAAAATGGAAGCAAATTCCTGATTTATTTATTTTTTTTCTCATGTCTTCGATTGAATGTTTGCATTTAGGGTGTTTGTGTAGGGTTCCTTAGTATATATATTTTTTGTTTATTTTAATTTTTTTTTAGCGACACAGGTTTGACATCGTAGTAGATATAGTTAGAGCGAATGTTTCGTTAAATTCAGTAAAACAATTTGTACCATGATAGTGTTTTTTAATTGCAAATGAAATTATGGCCCATTTTTGGTTATTTTATATCGAAATTTTTTCTCAGACGATATATTTGGCGACTGGGATTTATTTTTTGGGGATAAATGTTTAGTTTTGTATTATGCTGGCTTAGGATGGTTTAGTAATGTTAATTCACCCTAGTTAAGACATGTTGATTATTGAAATATTTTTTTTATATAAGGTATTTTTTTCAGTGTTTCGTAATTTTAGCCCCCTGCCAAGGGGTGTAAAACATTTACCCCCATTATTAACTTCTTATGTAATAAAAAAAAAAAAAATTTAAAAGTCTACTGATTCAATTCGGGATTACGTTTGTCAATATATATATATATATATATATATATATATATATATATATATATATATATATATATATACTGAATTACAAGAAATTACTTATTATTATTATTATTATTATTATTATTATTATTATTATTATTATTATTATTATTATTAAGTTTAAGTACATTTTGAAATGAGCAGTACAATACTATATCAATGTACTAGATTCTCTGATATTTAATCTGCCGAAAAGATATTTTCATTAGGTTATGTAATTACTTAATTGTAATTACCTAGTAACAAATAAAGTTGTGGATTATGTTATAATCTCAGTATTCTAAATAATGTGTACGACAAGGGTACGGCATTTTAGTTAGACACTATAGTCTTATGGGATTTCTGAATCATAAAGGTAGATTTTTACTTTCGCACCCTCAAGAAGTTGAGATTTGACACTATGGTTTTCCAGTGATATTTTTAAGTATTTCAAGTGTTATTTTTTTTTTATAATAGAATAAAATAAGTTAAGTTAGTTCATCCCAGTTAGGGAATGAGTTGTGGTTTTTTAGATGTAAGTTTACGCTTGGATTAAGTATTATTTTTTTTTTCACTGTATTTGTATTAAAGACTTAACCTTACCTGTGAAGAGTACTGCGAATAAATTCATTATTTTTTTTAGGACTTAAAATTATATGATTTATATCTTCCATTTGGATTCGGTTTTACGTCACGAACTCCCTTTTCTACTAAGGGCTATTATATCTTCCTTTTCATCTGAATAAAAATGGAGGGTGGCCTCTGAACTGTCCACAGCTTTTCCCTCTGCGTTGATCTCACCCCTCCCCTCCTTTATTCTCCAGGAGTTTAGGGTTTCGTTTTTTCTTTGACTTGTTAAACCAATCGATGCTACACCTCCTTATGGGGATGGGGTGGGGAATGATGGTGTTTGAGGGGACGGGGGTAGGGATTTAGATAGGGAAAGGGGAAAGACCCATATGGCCAAGGGTTAATGGGGGAGCCAGGAAGGGAGTGTACCACGTGCAAAACTTGAAACACTGCAGAGGTTTCGACTGGAATTCTCAATATTTTCTGGCAGGAGAATATTTTGACTTGGATATTGGTGTAGTCTCTTGAGGATATATTGATTCCTTTTCATAAATGTTACTAGACTGGTATAGAAACAGGCCGTAATAGAGTTATTCGGTTTTACGTCACGGACTCCCCTTTTTAGGAAGGGCAGGACGGTACCTCCTTTCGAAGGACTTTGGTTTTGGCAGAGTGTGGCTGTTACTTCGAGTGAATGCCCCTTTAACATCAGACCGTGGCTGGTCTTAAAACTGGCGAAGCAAAGTTAAAGTATAGAGTATTATCGTTATTTTCTAGTGAAAATACTTATCAACGTAGGCTATTTAGAAATAGAAAATAATAAATCTTTTACTGTTGCTTCTATAATTACCATTTACTTATAAATTAGCAATGCGAATCTGGTTATAGAAGGAATTTCTCGTGTCTGTGCGAGTTCGATCTACAATGAACCAATTACAATCGAGCTAAGTATCAGTGTCATTTCTGATTGGTTAGCTGGTATGTCGGGGTCTATAAATCTTCTAAAATATTCAATGATTTTTACCCAATAAGTTCGGTATATATATCCATTATCATCATACTCAGTCTGTTCTCGAAGCCAACTTCTTGTTGTTGTTGTTGTTATTATTACTATTATTATTATTATTATTATTATTATTATTATTAGTAGTAGTAGTAGTAGTATCATATTTTTATCTCATATAAATATACACAGTAACACGGAGTTAACGTGCTGTGAGTCAGCAAGAGATTATAGGTATTAAATGAATCAGTTGTAGTGGTAGTAGTAGTAGTAGTAGAAACAGTGCGTTATATATATATATATATATATATATATATATATATATATATATATATATATATATATATATATATATATATATATCGATCTAACTATCTATTCGTTTTTCCATGTATCTATTGATCTGTGAGCCGAGTATCCTTCTGCCTCCCCCTTGTCGCATGACTTCCGGTCACCTCCCCTGTCTCTCGTTATGTCTATTTTATTTAATAGAAACACAGGACCGTGACTCTCGTCTTTATCGAAGCCTGAACTCGTGGTGTAATGAATAGCACACTCGGCTCACAACCGAGAGATCCCAGGATCGAATCTTGGGCGAGGAAAAAAAAAACATTTGGGAACGTTCATTTGATCCCAACTGCCTCTGTTCACTTAGTAGTATGATTAGGTTCCTGACATTCAGTCGATTATGGGTCGCAGTTCCGGGATGGTACTAGTAGCTTTAGATCAGAGCAAAAACACCCAAACACACTGATGAAACTGCTGTACTCAATTAGGCTTCTGAGGTGACATTTTGAGTAATCAAGAGACAGTAACTAGAGAGTGTAAACCCCTAGAATTTAGTTTTTTTATTTATTTCCACTTTTAATGGTGGTTACACTGATCATTTTGAGTTGACAGTGGCTAGGAATGAAACCTGAAATTGAATACATACTCTTCTATCATTGACTCCACATATCTAATAGTGTACTCACTAACCCTTGCTGAGTTCAGTTATCTTATGCCCTCTGTGTATCAATCCCAGAATAGGCACCTTATGTCATTTTAGGTACCTAACTGGAATTGAGGCAAAAATCAGGTGCCCACTTTTAAATTGAGAATGAATTTACTACTAACTTTTAATACCATTTTTACTATCTATTTATCTCCTGACTATCCAATGGCTGACTGTCTCAATCCCAGAATGTCATTTTAGGTACCTAACTGGAATTGAGGCAAAAATCAGGTGCCTACTCTTGAATTGAGAATGAACTTACTACTAACTATTAATACCATTTTTACTATCTATTTATCTCCTGACTATCCGATGGCTAACTCATTTTGTCTTGACTATTTTTATGACATTTAATTTTTGAACTATTGTAGGTTGGCCTATAGGATCAGCTTCTCGTTGCGATATTACAGATGAAGGGTTTCTTGGATTTACATAGGACTGTCCAAGCCGGTTCGCTGTTTTTCCTTCACTTACGGCTCTTTTTCTATGCCTACATCAACAGCAAATATTCTTGGATATTCGTTTCACTTCTCTTACTATCCTTTCACATCTGACAAGTCATAACACTTTCCATCTCTGTGTCACTTTATGTTTTCTTCATGCTCGGGTCCGATGAGAGATATTTCATTCTATATCTCTTTGGCCCCGTCCAGGTATCACAATCAAAGTTACTTTTAAGAGCTCTCTGTGCCACCTCTTACTCCACCACCTCTTCCCCTCCCCGTCCACGGCTTCCCCTTCCACTCCTTCCCTCTCCCCATCCAGAAAGTCTCCCCCTCTCCCCCTTCTCTACATCCCCGGCCTTTCCTCTCGCGCTCCCTTCCACACCCCACTACTAATCTTCGTATTTACTTTTCCATATGAGAGGAACGTTGCTTTCCAAACAATGTCCCATTGGGAGATGGTGACTTAATTGCGTTGTAATTAAGGGTTAATCACTCCTTGATTACTCTTCTAACGACACTGACTGATTCGGGATGTTCTCTTGCAGAGGGGGAGGGATTCAGGTCCTTTGGGCTAACGTGGTTGGGGGTGATAGTTTATTTATTTTAATGATGATTTATCTATGTTTTAATTCATTATGTTTATTTATTAATTTATTTCTATATGTGTTATACCCTGTACCTAAGGTCAGAAAGTGGATTTTGTATTGATTTAAGGGAGCTGACATATGTGGTTCATATATATATATATATATATATATATATATATATATATATATATATATATATATACACGCACACACACACACGCATATATATATACTATATATATATATATATATATATATATATATATATATATATATATATATATATATATATATATATATATAGTTATCTTGATTACTAATATTTTTTTTTTTTTTTTTTTGAGAGAGAGAGAGAGAGAGAGAGAGAGAGAGAGAGAGAGAGAGAGAGAGAGAGAGAGAGAGAGAGAGAGAGAGAGAGAGAGAATTTATGCATTAATTAAGAGACTTATATGCCACCAGTTATTCAATCCCCCCCCCCTCCCTCCGCTCAGCATATGAAAGACGCTTAGAGACAGTCAGAGAGAGAGAGAGAGAGAGAGAGGTACACAAGCAGACAAATGGACAAATATGACAGACAATGACAGATGGCTAGAGAGAGAGAGAGAAACCCTACATAAACATTTCTCACGTAATTTGAGAAGCCATACCGAGGTCAGACTGAGCTGTGGAAGCCATTAAGACTTGAAGAAAACATATATTGTATGATATAATGTTGAAGACCCTTTATACTAATGTAGT